AATATTTAATTATATTATAGTTTATAATAATATTTTATTAATTATAAATAAAATTTTTGATTATTAATATTTATGAATTACCGTTACTCACAGTTTTGTAATAATTTATATCTACATAAAAATTATTGTTTCATCTATTATATTTAATTCGTTGATTTTAATATAATAGAAATGTAATAAAAATTGAATATTCACACTGTCAACATTACCTGCAAGCGGAAGTTCATCCGCAGCTTGAAATTTCTTGCAGTAGTCGATTCTATACGCACTCAGGTAGCATAACTTCGCCGACGGGCGCAACGGATGCGAATGAGCACGCGCTTACATTTCCGCTTTCTGTTTGACCGGAAGTGACCTTTGCCTTATTAGAAAAAACTTGCACGCACGCATCAATCCCAAGAGCTATCCCATATATGTATTGCTTCGGTATATATACATGTACAATGTGAATCGTCTTTACCGTTGCATCGAAGTTAGCAACATCGACGTTGATTATCAATTACGGAAATGAACGTGTCTTCGTGGGTATCAATCAGTGATAAATTAATCGCAAATAGCACGCAATGGCTATAGCGTGACAGCAAAATAGCTTCTTCTATTACCGACTCCGTTAAATAGTAATTATGTGGCAAAGTAAACCATTTGTATCTTCTTTTAATGTTGAAATACAGAACAAAGTTCCATACCAATGCCTGTTTTTACTGTAGTTTAATTTTAATCTTAGTTTAACTCTTCATCTTTTCTAGTTATAAGAATTATCTTTTTCTAGCTATAAGAATTACAAAAGATAAAGAATAAATTGAACTGAGATTAACATTAACTACATTGGTAAAAACGAATATAATACAAAGAATTTTTTTCTTCTCAAATGCTTCGAGCAATGTAAGCATGCAACCGTAATGGCCTTGATCGTAAGAACCATATACATAGTAGCTACGGAACATGACAAAGAAAAGTACATTCTGAAATATTGGTAATTTTAATAATTTTTCGACATCACTTTACTAATATTCTAGTTACTCAACTAAACTCGCTAATTTGCTTTCTGCCCATTCAAATATTTCTAATCCATTCTTTTTATTTATCAATTAAATTTCTAATTCGTCTTTTAGAGCAGAAAAAAATGATGTAGAAGATAAACTTTGCCATTTGTTACATTTGCTACATTTCCACTTTGATAAAAAAAAGAAGGACTTGACGCGACTGCACTACGAGACTTGATGATGCACCTTCGGTCGAACGGCCTCGAAATACATTCCAAAGACACGATTGTCTATTATTGTTTGCGAGGATCGATGTCTGCCGGTCTGTTCCAGAAAGAAAACAAGATTCTTTGACTGGCTCCTTTCTTGTCGCAAGTGGTAACCAGTATTGACGTGTTGTCATGTGTCATCTCTAAACTTGTCCAGAACGTCATCGTCAATAATAAAAGAAGAAAAGAGAGAAAGAATATTTCTGCAA